AGTCTGCGAGGCTGACACCCAGCCGACTCCTGTGCCGGTCCATGAGTCTACCACGCAGCCGACTCCTATGCTGACCTGTGTGGCTCCCACCCAAATGGATCCGGTGAAGGTCAACGAGGCTGCCACCCAACAGTCCCCTGTGAAGGTCTGTGAGAGGGCCACCCAGTTGGCTCCAGTGCAGATCCGTGAGGCTGCCACCCAGTTGGCCCCAGTGCAGGTCCGTGAGTCTGCCACCCAGACGGCTCCTGTGATAGTCTGTGAGTCTGCCATCCAGACAGCTCCTGTGAAGGTCTGTGAAGCGGCCACTCAGCCATCTCCTGTTAAGGTCAGCGAGGCTGCCACCCAGCAGACTCCTGTGAAGGTCAGCGAAGCTGCCACCCAGTTGGCTCCGGTGCAGGTCCATGAGGCTGCCACCCAACAGTCTCCTGAAAAGGTCTGTGAGGCGGCCACCCAGCCATCTCCTGTGATCTGTGAGGCTGCCTTGCAGCAGACTCCCGTGGAGGTCGCTGATGCTACCCAGTTGGCTCAGTTGAAGGCTGGTGAAGCCTTCTCCCAGCACACTTCAGGAGAGGTCCACCAGGCTGTCAATGGGCAGTCTCTCTTTGAAGTCTGTGATGCTGCCACACAGAAGCATCCTGTAGATGTCTCTAAGGCCTTGTCCCAGAAGGGTCCTGAGGTTTTTGAGTGCGAGACCCAGAGTTCTTTGGATGGCAGTTATGTCATAATTCAGCCAAGGGATGTCTGTGAATCATTTATCATGTTATAAATTCATCTCTTGTGTGAGCCAGGATAACTGGTACACACCTGCAAACCCAGAACCTAGAGGCAGGAGTGGGTTTGCTTTGGCTGAGTAAGGCAGTGGGTCTTAAACCTCAGCCTGCCTAAGACTCCCTTCATCTTTCTTTCTGGTTGTTGTTGCTGTAGGAATAGGGAGGAACAAAATATAGCCATTTTGTCCTCCAAACCCTTGTGTTAAATATTTGCAAACACAATTTAAAGTATTCTAATAAAAAGTTGCATTCCTGCAGTGTGTGTTTGAAAGGTGGAATGAGACAGTGCACCTCTCCAGCAGCCGAGTG